CTCCTGCCATCTGGTGAAGGACACAGGAATAGAATCCTAGGTTGTCAGACATGTCAGGACCCTGGAGGGCATGAGGTCCAACCCCCTAACTTTGAAGATGGGCAAAATGAGGTTCAGAGAAGGGAAGAGATGACCCAGGATCACACAGTAAATCAGAACCCACGCTCTTTCTCTAGCCTCCCACTCCTCATATACTGAGCCCTAAGTCATCTGATTTCCCTTTTTGCGTGGCTGTCAGGAAGCTCAGAGGTCAGTTTTCAAACAGTGTCTCCTATGGCAAGCTCGTCAAAACCCTTTCTGGAAGGGAACTCACATTTATTTGGGCCCACGATGTGCCCCACGTCATGCTATGCCCGATCACATATGAGATCTCATTTAGTCCACACAGCATGTGAGAGAGATACAAATGGCCCTTTTTTAAGGATGAGGACACAGGTTCCGAGACAGAATCAACTTGCCCAAAGTCACAGAGCTTGTGGGTGAGAGAGCAGAATTCAAGGCTGAGACCCTCTGCCTCTCACACCCATGCTCGCTCCTCTCCAGAAATACGCAGTGCGTGCCTCTCCGCCCCTGGCCGCTGCCCCCTCCGGCCGGCACTGCCCCTCGCCAGCACTCAGGCTCTCAGTAGGCAGCCCCCTGAGAAGCCGTGGAAGGGGAGCTTGGTTCTGAAACTTCTCCCCTTTGCCATCCTTAGAACTCAGCTTTATATTGTCCTTGCGGAAAGATTCCCATGCTGGGGTCGCATTCGGAGCCTGTCTGGCCAACATAGCCCAGAATTCTGTTAGTCCTTCGTCGGAGCAAACAGCCGCCAGAAGAACAACAACGCAACAGAACACACGGGACAAAGATGTTGATCACAGCACTGTGTATCGTGGAGGAGAGTTGGCATTCATCGTGGTCCTGCAGGGGAAGGGGGAGGCCGGGGGGGCTCATCAGAGGGCTGGCTTCATGGGAGGGCCTGAAGCCAGGTTTAATGCTCCGTAGGCTCTGTCTTAAAATTCTTCATTTTCTCTTTGAGCTTGTGTTTTGTAAGTGAAGTCCAGCAGGACGCTGTGGGACGCACAGGAGCCGAGAAGGTGATCTGGAGAAAGGAGAGAGCTTTATACTTTGGGTGCTTTTAATGGCACCGTTTCCCCAACTTAGGGACAAGGGACACATATTTTCATTTTGCAGTGGATCCCACAAGTTATGTAGCTGGTCCTGCGTGTAGTAGGGGGAAGGGCACTGGGCTGGCGTCCAGGACAGTGGGGTTCAAGGTTACTCCCCTCTAGGCCCACTGTGAGGGGCTGTCCTGCTGAACTCTAGGATATTTTTTTAAAGATTTTATTTATTGGGCGCCTGGGTGGCTCAGATGGTTAAGCGTCTGCCTTCGGCTCAGGTCATGATCCCAGGGTCCTGGGATCAAGTCCCGCACCGGGCTCTCTGCTCCTTGGGAGCCTGCTTCTCCCTCTGCCTCTCTCTCTCTCTGTCTCTCATGAATAAATAAATAAAATCTTTAAAAAAAAAAAAGATTTTATTTATTGGAGAGAGAGAGAGAGAGAGAGTGCATGCAGGGGGAGGGGCAGAGGGGGAGGGAGAGGGACAAGCCAACTCTGTGCTGAGCAGGGAGCCCATCAGTGGGCTCGATGCCAGGACCCTGAGATCACAACCTGAGCTGAAAACCAAGAGTGGGATGCTTAACCGTCTGAGCCATCCAGGCGCCCCCTGAGCTCTAGGATTTTATGAACAGTATGTAGTCATTAGAAATGGAAAATATGTAGACTCCATCAATACCAAGAAAAGTCAGTCCCCATAAAAAAAAAAACTGCAGTGAGAAAAGCCAGACACAGGAAGAAGACCCCCGTCACAGCAGGTGATCTAACTAAGGACCAGCAAGGATAAGGCGGGAGTTTGACCAGGTGAAACAGCTGAGTTGAGTTTGGAAGGAATAGGTTTTTCAGAAGCTGGTGGTGAAGGAAGCAAAGATGAACCTGCAGGAATTATGCCTGAAGGGGTGGGATTTGAGGCAAGATGAGGGGGAGGTTTTCAGCTTCATTAGACCACACCCTCAAAACCCCCCCTACCCCCACTTCTCTTCCTCTCTTTCTCCCACCTGATATCCCTTCCTTCCTTCCACTCCCCCAGGCTGTGACTGAAGGGGGGAAGTGGGAGGGCCCAGGCAGGGGAGGGGAGGTGCGGGCTGGGAAGATGGGGTGCGGTGGGGAGGGGCTTGCAGCTCCCCTTCAGCCAGCCCGTTTCCGTGATTGCGGGCTCCCAGATACCTGAGGTTCCTCCACCCCAGATACAGCGACCCCCCCATTTCAGCACCGCCAGGAGCCCCAGTGAAGTGCGAGGGATCAGAGGAGCTGCCTGCCAGTGAGCAGAGGGGGGAAGGCAGGTGGGAGGGCTGAGAAAGGGGAACAGGTGGGAGAGGGAAGGTGAGTCAGCACAGAGCAGAGCGGGCAGGGGTTTGCAGGCAGCCAGCGGGGCCTCGGAGCCTCCCTGCAGCTCCCGGCTGCCTCCTGGCTCTGGCACCCCAGGGCCCCTCCCCCTGGGCCCGCCCCCAGTGCCCGTGCCCCGCACTCCTCTCTGGCACCCCAGAAAGTCCTTGCTTTTCCAGCCCTTGTCAAAACTCGCCTCCGGTCGTGCCCTTATGTTAACCTCTAAGATATGTCCCGGGTCAAAGATTCTGAGTCCAAGGGTTCCTGCGTCTGAGGTCCTCTTCAGTGACCCCTGGTTACCCAGGCGCCAAAGCATCCCTGGGAAGGCAGTCGGCCGGAGAGGATGAGATTGGGGAGGCCCTCCTGGGGGGCCTGCAGGGCTGGATGGAGGGACATCTCCGATGAGTCATGTGGGAGGTGAGACCCTGGCAGAAGGGCACCAAAGGCCCCTCTGTGAGCATGGGCAGCTGGACAGCTATGCTCTCGTCTTGCTGAGTGGTCTCCCCAGGCCCTTCGGAGGCCCCCAAAGGTCACAGGAGCACTCTGGGAAATCTGGATGGGGGCAGCCCCTGCTCCTCACTTAGCCCCTGCCTGGGAGAGGGTGAATGAAAGGGAAGCAGGCCTCCTGGCCTCTGTTTGTCCTCACCTTGGTTCATGTCAGCCCCTTAGTTCCCGGGCCCCCACAAGGATTGAGACCCCCATCCTCATCTACCTGCCTCTCGGGATGCGGTCAGAGTTTAGTGAATGGAGGGATGGGAAGGGATGTCTCACATGAAGGGAGACATTAGGACAAGTTATTTGTTGAGGGATTTGGATCCCAGGCTAGCGTCTTTCTCCGGGACAGAGGCCTCAGGTTCTCTTGTTAAACTGTTAAAGTCCGTCAGATGCACCATGTTTTACCCAAATGCAGCCACGTTGCCAGTGCTGGTGAAATATGATCATTCACAAAGCAGCTCACAGCACTTCACAGTAGGTGAGCTTTGGCCTGCTGCTTCCCTGCATTTCCTGAGGTAGTGGCGCCTTTTACCTAGAAGGTACCTGGGAACAGCGAGGGTTCCCGCTGCTTCCTACACCTCCACTGTTGGGTATGCAGTTGGCACATAGACTAGAGGTAGAGCTGGAAGGGGCTCTCACACTGAAAGTTTCTGTGACAGACTACCACGTACGGCCACAATGCCACCCCGGTGTGGACACCCTTTGCCACGGGACTTTTACCATGCTCCCAGAAGCTGGAGTCTGATTTCCCACCCTTTGAATCTGGGCTGGCCGCGTGACCTCATTGGCCAAGAGATTGCAGTGGAAACGACGTCATCCAAGTTCAAGGCTAGGCTCAAGAGACCTCGTAGCTTCTGCCTTCTCCCTCTTAGGTTGCTGCCCTGAGATGCCATGAAGGAATTTGGAGGAAGAGAGGCCCCGGCCGATAGCCAGACCGACCACCTGACACGTGGGCGAGGCCATCGTGGACCTTACAGCCGAGCTGATGTTCCCCAGCTGCTGGAGTGAGCCCTAGGAAACTGGGCCAGGGAGCACTCAGTCCACCCACAGAACCTCGAGGAAGAATATAGCACCGTCGTCCAGGTTTTGGGGTGGTTTTTTACACAGCACAGCTAACCGAAGCCCAGAGAAAGGAAAGGACTTAGCCAAGGTCCCACCCACAGTGAGACAGAGACCAAGTCCGACTAGGACCAGGTTTCCTAGCAGCCCCCGAGAGCCCTTGCCACCAGTGTCCTGAGGCCAAATTCATCGGCCCAGCCTGGCGTGTGTGCCTGGAGCAGGTGTGACCAGACAGGCCCCTCCCTTCCGGCCCCCCCCCCCCAGCCGCCACGGGTTACAGAGGCTTAGCTGCCAGCCACACAGGGCTTTCCTGACCATCATCTCTTGGGAGGGAGGGGTGGTTCCTCCCATTCTACAGATGATGAAACTGAGGCCAAGAGCAGATGGGCAACTTGCTGGAAGCCACACAGCGGTGAAGTAGCAAAGCTCCAGCTCAAGCCCAGGTCCTCTGAAGCCGGCTCAGGCTCTTTCCCATTGGCTCCCAGGAAGGAAAATGGCAGGTGGTATAGTCCCCTCCAGGGCTCCGTGTCTCGGAAAGGGACACGTACATACCACACGCAGACACACTCACATCATGGTCTCTCTCTCTCTCTATCTCTTCTTCTCTGCTTTTCATCTTCAACCAGCCTACCCTAATGGACCATATACTTTATTAAAAATATATAGTTACAAACTCCATTGTCAATCTGGGCTGGACCCCGGGGATCTGGAGGGACCACAGGAGGTCCTCATCCTGCCCCTCGGGGTCCCACCTTTGTACCCAAACCCAACACCATCCAGGGGCCAAGATGGCTGGCTTTGGGGACCAGCCAGCTGGGCGGGGGAAGGGGCTAGGCTTGCCGGGCTGGGAGGGGGAGGGGTTCACAGAGAGGGACTGCACCTCCTCGTCCTGCGGGTACAAACGGCAGAAGGTGGATTTGGTGCCTCCATTTCTCCATTTATAGATATTTACAAAAGAAAGTCAAGAGCAACTGGTCACAGTCATGCAAAAGAAACGCACCCCCACCCTCCCTCCTCCCACACTAACCCCTGCCCACCCCAGAACCCTGTGATGCCCAACCCCCAGCAGTCCAGCCGCCTTCCCCAAGGTTCTGAGAGTAAAGGGGGCACGTCCTTGAAGTGTCAGTGGGAAAAGGGTGGTGGGTCTGGGGTCCCCGAGATGCCAGTGGGTAGGCTGACAGGGCAGAGGGTATCCTGGGCCCTTCCCAGGCCTGGGCTCTGGAGTCAATAGGAAGGGGTTCCCCAGTCTTTGAAGCGCCCCCCCCTCCCTCCGGAAGGTCCACGCAGCCAGGGTCAGCTCTGTCCTGAGTGTGGAAGGGGTGTCCTGGCATCCCACCCCCTGCAGAGGCTCGTGTGGGAAGTGATGAAGGCGGGGCCTGGAGGTCAGATGGCGGACTCCCTGCGGTAGGAGATGTTGTCCAGCGGGAGGGTGGCTTGCATGCGCTCCAGATCCAGGTGACTGCCAAACTCCAGCATTCGGATGATGCCCGCCTCCTCCTTGGAGCCTGCCTCCAGGCCCAGGCCCGCGGCCACGGCAGCAGCGGCTGCTGCCTCCTCCTCCATCTCCTCTTCCTCCTGGCTCATGAGGGCCAGCTCGTTCTCGTAGCAGAAGGCACTGGGCGGGGGCGGCGGGGCAGGCAGCACGGTGATCTTGCTCTCCTGCAGCTCCCGGGCGGAGCAGCAGGGCGTGCCGGCCACCTCGTAGGTCTTGTGGAAGCGCGAGTAGTCCACCTTGTAGTGGCTCTTCTCCTCGAAGACCACGGGCTCAAAGCGGTGGCCCCACAGGATCTCGCTGGCCAGGTAGGAGCTGCGGGCCTGGGTGGTCATGGCGGTGGCCTCCACCATGCCCTCGAGGATGACCACGATCTCAAAGTCCTCCGACTCTAGCTCCTCCTTGCCCATGCCATAGAGCGGGCTGTCCTCGTCGATCTCGTGGACGATGATGATGGGCGACACCAGGAAGATGCGGTCCAGGCCGATGTCGTAGCCCACGTTGAGGTCCCGCTGGTCCAGCGGCAGGTACTCGCCCTCCTGGGTCATGTAGGGCTTGATGAGCTGGGCCCGCACGTGGGCCTCCACGATGTGGCTCTTGCGCAGGTTGCCCACGCGCCACATCAGGCAGAGCTTGCCGTCGCGCACCGAGATGACTGCGTGGTGGCTGAACAGCAGCGTCTGCGCCCGCTTCTTGGGCCGAGCCATCTTGGCCATGATGGTGCCGATCATGAAGGAGTCGATGACACAGCCCACGATGGACTGGACCACCACGGCAATGACCGCCAGCGGGCACTCCTCCGTCACGCACCGGAACCCGTAGCCGATGGTCGTCTGCGTCTCCACAGAAAACAGGAAGGCGCCCAGGAAGCCGTTCACGTGCATGATGCAGGGCTTGGGGGCCGTCGGGGCGGCCGCGCCACCGCCCGTCGGGGCCCCCCCTGCCGCCACCGCCGCCGCCGCCGCCGTGGCCGCGGCCGCCGGGCCAGCCTCCAGGTCACCGTGGAAGAAGGCGATACACCAGAAGAGGAGGCCAAAGAAGAGCCAGGAGACGAGGAAGGCGGCGGAGAAGATCATGAGCATGTAGCGCCAGCGCGTGTCCACGCAGGTGGTGAATATGTCCGCCATGTAGCGCTGCGACTTGTTGCTCAGGTTGGCGAAGTAGACGTTGCATTGGCCGTTCTTCTTGACGAAGCGGTTGCGGCGTTTCCGCCGGGGCACGTGGGCCTGCCCGTTTCGGCTGTGCCCGTGCATGTCCTGAAGCCGGCGTGGTCACCTGGGAAGACGCAGGGCCTGGGGGGGGAAGCCCGACAGGTGAGATGCTGGCGGCCGGGGAACCCCCCCCGCCCCCCCACCCCCGCCAGAGGCTCAGAAGGGGAAGAGCCTGGCCTAGGACCCAGGACCTCCTCGAGCCCCGCGGGCAGAACATGGCGGGGGAGGTGCTTCTGAGGTCGGGGAGGGAGTGTGGGGGCCTGAGCCAGTGCCTCCAAGGACCAGAAGCCGAGGCCACCAGGCCGGCCCTCGTGCTGCCCCCCTCCGGCCCTCCTTGGCCCCCACCCCATCTGGGGAGCTTCCTGGCACCCATCTTGGCTCCACCATCTGTCCCCCTTGCCCTGAGCAGAGGGAGCTGCGAGCGCTCTGGCCCCTGCTCACCTCCTGGGTTCAGCCTCTGCCCTCTTGGCTCTCTCTGGGGCTGGACATCCTCCCGAGCGGGCCCGAAGAGCAGCCAATGGCCCCCCGTGGCTTTGTACATTTACTAAAGATTAAACACAGTTTTCACTTCACTGCCCCGCATTTCAAGCGCTCAGTGGCCGCTTGTGGCTAATGGCTGCCATGACGAGACGGAGTTGATACAGAACATTTGCCTCATTGCGGAAAGTCCTACCAGACTGCGCTGAGACCCGAGGCCCCATGTCGGTTCCTGTCCTGTCCCCAGACCTGCTGGGAACAGAAGTGGGTGAAGACACCAATGGTGGGGGTCAAGATGGAGGAAAGGGGAGCCCCAAGCTTTGGCTCCCATGTAGGTATTGCTAGTCCCATGTCACAGGTGAGGGAGCGGGGCTCAGAGAGGGGAAGTGACCTGCCCAAGGCCGCACAGCTGTGGAGTAAATCCAAACTCAGGTGTGTCTAGCCTTCAGCCCCCAGGTGCCGTCAACCTCCATGAGCTCACGGGTCCGGAGGCAGGGAGGCAGACACACCCACTGCCTCGCTGTGACACCTCGGAAAACTCATTTCCCCTCACCTGTAAAATGGGGATCAAAAGCCTACCTCACAGGACCCGAGGAGGTCGTGGGTGCTTGGTTAAAGCCAGTCACCCTCCTGCCTGCCTTCCCGAGTCTCCAGAGCAGGAGGACGCGGGCGAGAGGCAGGGTTTGCCTGTCAGCCTCCTCGGCTGTGTCTCAGTGGAGGCGGCCCTCACCCCGCCGGGGTGGCAGAAGCACCGGCCGGGCCCACGGAGGGCAGACCCTCCCTCCACCCCTCCCCTCCGCCGGGGCCCCGGGAGAGAGAAGGTGCTGCCCAGGGCCCCCACTCCTCGCAGGGCTGGGCCTGGGCCTGGGCTCCCGGTAACGTTTTGGCCCAGAATTATATAAGGCTGGAAGTTTCTATTTTCTGTTCTATTCTTCTTCCTGATCTAATTGTGCATCTGTGGTAATGTTTATACACTTCCCCGTTCAGGACAACTCGGTTGCCTCAGCAACCGGTGCGCGCCAACGCTGTAATTTAGAGATCAACAGCCTGGTGCCTGCCTGCGCCTCTTCCCGGGAGAAACTCCCTCCCTCGGCCGGGCCTGGGGAGACTGAGCCCTGCCCCCCTCCTCCCCCGCGATCACCCCCCACTCTGGGTTCTTCTCCCTTCCCAGCCTGTGCTCCCTGGATCATCCACCACATAACATGGGGGGCAAGTCACTTGGCTGCTGCGAGCCTCAGTTTCTTCATCTGGAAAATAGGACCAGTGAGACCCATCGGTCTGAAGATCTAACAATGTGGGTGGGCAATGCTGGCCCTTAAGAGGTCATAACTTTAGCTGGGAGTCCCAGACCCTGTCTGCCACCTCCCCCAGAGGCCTAACAGCCAGGGCTCCAGGTGGGAGCCCTGAAGAAATTGGGGGCCAGGGGCACCTTCTAGGTTTTAGGGAGGTCATCCTTCACTAAGCATCTCCCTCTCTGCTCTGTCCCGCTGTCTTGAATGCCTCCAGGAGCACCACAGAAGGAACCAGAGCCAGAAGGAGCTGGAAACCACTGATTTCAAGACCCTCATTTTATATCTGAGGCCCAGGAAGCACAGACCTGGGATGGATTGGCTAAGGGTCCCAGAGGGAGGCAGAGTGGACCAGCCCTGAGCCAGGGCACCTCATTCCCACTCCAGAGCTCCTGGGAGGTGAAGGTGCTCCTGGCAAGAGGAGCCTCCTCCCTGGAGTGCTTGGGGCAGGGTTTGCTGCAGGAGAAGACTCTTCATGGGGCTCCCACTCCCTAGGAGGGCCCGGGGCTGAGGGTCAGGGAGATGGTCCCCGCGTGCTCTAGGCTGCTGGTCCTCGCTCACCAGCATGGCCCACTTTTCCCTGGTCCTGAGTGCGAGTGGCAGGATCAGCCCGGCCCCAGGATCCAGGGTCAGCCCTGAGGCTCCACATGTCCCCACCCGACACTCCCCCACCCCCAGCTTCAACCCTCACCCCCAGCCCCTGCCTTTCCATCACCCCATCCCCACCAGCCTCACATCTTAGCCCAGTAGGGGCACAGCTTGTCCTGCACCCTTGTGTCTCCTCTCCTGGTCATAGCAGTGTCCTCAAGCCCCTGCGGGGTTTCCCGCCCTGTGCCCACGGCTCTGCTCTGCCATGTTCAGCCATGCTCAGAAATGTCTGCTCCTGGGCCGATGGGAAAGCCGCCCCCAGACCCATCACCCTCCGCCACGGAGGGGCCTGTGTGCCGCCTGTCTCCCTGGGGACCCTCAGTTGGTGAGGGCCCTGTCTGCAGGGACCCGTTCAAATAAGTGAGCACTCCTGTCCCTGCTGACTCCTTCAGCAGGAACGAGAGGCTCACCTGCCAGCGCGTGGGCTGACCCACACGATGCCCAACCGAGAAGTGAAAAGTCCGAAGCTTGGCCTCGTGCTTGCATGGGACGGCCACCGGGAGACAGCCGGGTTTTCTGTCCCTTGTTTGTCACACGAGGCTTCCTGGCGAAGGCCCAAGGGCCCAAGGGGGACGTGCGCAAGAGAAGGGGCACAGATGGTCGAAGAGGGCAAGAGGCATCGACAACTGGGTATCACCCTCCTCTGAATATAGATGTGCTTTTGGAGAGAGCGCGTCCCGTGGATCGCGTCTACAGTGAAACCATACGAAGGCAGGGAGCTGGTGTTCATTCTCTTGCAACAAGTGTGCCGGGAAATGAACACACATGGGAGAACTCGGTTTCAGCACATTTCCTAAGGCGGAGGCTCCGCGAGGCTGGGCCCCCCTCACTGCCTTGCGGGGTGACCTTGGGCAAGTCCTTCTCCTTCTGGGCCAGCTTCCTGGGCCGGTCGCGACCCTTGAGCCTGAGTGCATCCTGAGACTCCTTTCGTGGTCAACATTCTTTCTTTGGGGAAGTGATAGGGATGGGAGATGCTGGCTGCTTTTAAAAACATAATGTCCTTTCTTGGCGAAGTGAAGGATTGAGATGCTGCGCCAGTTACCAAACTTTGTCTTTTCCTTTAATTTTACGGTGCTGTCAACGTCCCAAATCTGGAGCCCCTAGTCCAGACTTCACTGGACAACTAGAGAAACTGAGGCCAAGAGCAGGGCTGTGGCACAGGGAGGCAGTGCCTAGCCAAGGACATTCTGGCCTCGGGGACCTGGTGAAGGTGACCAGCAGGGCTGTCAACTCGTTGGCATCATCGCTAGCCTGCTCCTTCCGGGAGACGGCCGGATGCCCGGCCTGCCACGGGTCCAGAGGAGGCAGGAGAAAGACCCCACGCCTGTCACTAGGTTTTCCCTCTGATTTTATGACCCACAACTCCCTTTGCCAAAGAAAAGCTGATAAAGGGACAGCAGCGCTAGGGGGACTCCAGCAACCCCGGCCGACTGTGAAGACAAATCTCCCAGTGCGCACCCACCCCCCGCACGGGAGAACGCTGGTGGCTGCAGGGGTATGTCACCGTGGCCCCCAACCCGCGGCAGCAGCCCTTCCTGAGACGGGGACCAGGCAGGCTCTCTAGAGGGCAGGAGGAAGGGGACACTTAGCCAGCCTGCAGGGCCTTGATGCATGCCGTTGTTACTGGATGGGACAATAGGGCAGGTGAAGTGACTTGCCGGAGGTCACATTCCTCAGCCCTGGGGCCCAGCTGAACCTGCCGTCCTTCTCAGTGGCTGCTCTCAGGGAAGGAACCTGCTGGAAGTGTGAGCTCCCTGCCTGATCTATCTCCCTGAAGCGTCACTGCAAGGCTTTGTTTATTTAACAAGTATTTATTAAGCACCAACCACAGCAACAAGCAGGGTTATTATTTCTCTTCCCAGCTGAAGAATCACAGGCTGGGGGTGGGGGGAGTAGGGACGAGGATGGGGGTTGCCCAGCAGAAGCGGCAAAGCTGGGATTCCCACTCAGGTCTGGCTGGCTCCAGCTCCTCGGCTCACCCTGGTCCCCCAGTCTCGGCTTCGGGCTCCCTTCACCTTCCACAACGCCCTGCTCAACGCAGATTCCTCGTGTCTCTCCGCAGCCCCCCAGGCCCAGCCCCAGCCCCTCCAGTCTCTGAATCTTCCCAGGCTGCCTCGCTAGCCGCAGCCCTGCCTCCTCTGAGCCCCTTGGCTCTCACTGCCTGTCTGTTCCACTCTGCTCCTTCTTGACTTCAGGAAAAGAACATGCTGGCTAAGCCCTTGTGTTTGGCCGGCAAGACCTGGCTCTCAGTCTCAGCTCTGTCACCTCCTAGCGTGTCCTCTTTGGACCTCGGTTTCCTCATCTGCAAAGTGGACGTGATAGCGATTGTACCTACCTCACCAGACCCCTGATGAGGTGAGTGTGATAACCACTAGGAACAGAAACGCGGACCGAGGGCTCCAGAGGGCTTTGCAGGTGGAATGCACGGAATATGCAGATGATGCTGGTGGTGGTGGTCGTGATGATGATGATGAGGAGGAGTATGAGGATGACGACACAGGACAGGGGACTGGGGGCCGGGAAACCCAGCATCAGGTCCTGGCTTCACTAACTGCTCCAGCCAGGTGCTCCTTCTCTCCATCTGCAAAATGGGGGACCATATTTGCTCCCTGGCAGGAGAGCGGGAAGATGTAAGAAACAAGGCACCCAGCACAGAGTCTGAAATAAGGCAAGGGAGCTGGTGGGTGTTCCTGAGTCCCATCAGCCTCCTTCATCCCTGAAGCCCTCTGAGGCTTGGACAGGGAGGCTGACTCTTCTTCTACCAGAAGGAACAGGCACAAGGCAAAGGAGGTGAGGTGAGGTGGGGTGAGGGGCTAACTCAGTGAACCCAGATCAGGTTCTAGAGGCTAGAAAGATTTCCCTGGGGGATGTGGAAGGAATTAGCACCATTGTCTCCTTTCCCAGCCCCCTAAGGAGCCCCCCCGCCCCTCCTCCAGCTCTGACTGAGGCCTTTTAGGCCTGAGCGGCCTGGTTTGGGTAAGAGTTCACTCAGCTCTGACACAGAGGGCTTTGCACAGAGATGGGAAAGGGCTCAAGGCCTGGCAGCTGAGCTGTGTTCCTCAAAGAGTAAAAGGGAGCTGGAGATGGATCTAGCCATGGGGGAAATTGTGGCATTTTGTCCCCTCCTGCCCACAGCCTTCTGGAGGCCCCTGTCCTGCTCCTCAGACCCCAGGAGGTCTGACTACCTTGTCTTCATGAGGCTCAAGAGCCCACATCTTCCCCCTGTACTGGCTTCAACCCAAGTCCAAAGCGGACTCTCTGTACCACTTTCTGCCTGAGTGACCTTGGGCAAATTACTTAGCCTCTCTGGTCCCTGCACTCATCATCTCGAGGTGGGGCTAGCAATAGTCCTTACCTCATAAAACTGTAATGAGGAATAAATGGGATCATGCACATCATGTGCCCAGCACAGCGCACGTGGTTGCTAAGTGATACAAATCACTCCCGAGGCTGACCAGTCCTTCCCTTGTCCTCCTCCCCCTGGATTTGAGCTGCAGCTCGCCAGAGCCCGCCCAGCACCCATCACATGGCCCTGCCCCGTTTGTTTTCCCACACCAGCCCCGGGAGCAGCCGAGCAAGGGCAGTGGCCACGATCTCCCCGGGGGGCTGGGCGGGAAGTGGGAGCAGTCCCGCCTCGCATGCTCGGTCCAGCAGATCCCTTGACCTCTCCGAGCCTTAGCGTCTTCATTTGCAAAGGAACGTGGTAATGCCTACCTTGCAGGGTGGTCCTGAGGGCCAGATGTGGATTGCCACCTGTCACAGAGCTGCAGGCCACAGAGTGGGTGCTCAATGAACGCCGTTCCTCCCTCACACTCTCTGTGCCCTGAAACCCCACTGCACACGGAGGCCCGCCCCCACCGGCCGCCGGGGTGACATCGCAAACTCCTCGCGGAGCACTGAGCGTGCACTTCCTCTGTGCGGCCCTCTTCTGAGTGCTTTACGCTGATCAATTCCTGCCCTGCTCACCGTGACCTCAGAGGAAGTTACCATTATGATCCCTACTTTAGAAGTAAGAAAACTAAGGCAGAGAGAGATCCAGCAACTGATCCAACGTCACACAGCCCATTAGTGGAGGAGCCAGGATTTGGACCCAGGCAGTCGATGCCAGAGCACGTTCATTTGACATTTTACTCTCCTGGCCCGAGGACACATGGGTCATGTTGCACGTTTCTTCCCTTTAGTAAATATTTATCCAGCCCTACTGTGTGCCAGGCTCTGTCAAGTCAGTCCTTTTGGGAAAGGAGAAGCTGGGTCATAGGGCAAGTTGGAGCCAGAACATGGTCCCTGATTATAGAGCCAGACACACAGGAGACTCTGGGCTTGCAGAGGGGCTCTGAGCAGTGTGGGGTGAGCGGGCTCATTCTTCCAGCTCTGACCCCACCTCCCAACTTTCCTGCCCAGCCATTCAGCCATCAGGTGAACAGGCTCAGAAAGCAAGGTCCCCAGAATGTCCAGAGAGGCCTTCTGGTCACAGCCAAATGGCAGGAGCTGGTGGCCGCAGGACCCCAAGGGTCACTGCTCCAACCTGCAGCCGTGCCCCTTCTTGCCTGGCCCGCGCCTGGCCCCTGCCCTGACGGAGAGCTTACTACCCTCACAGGAGCTGCCTCGATTGGCCCACCAAAGGGACTGTCCCCAAACACCTGTGCCCTTCTTCTATACAGGGACTAGAAGGTGAGAGCAGATCTCTGGAGGCTCCTCTTTTCCAGAACAACCTCAGCTCTCTCATTGGTGGTGGGATTCAATCCCCCATGGCCTCGTTGTGCCTTCTCGGGGCCTGGTCTGCCGTGCATTCTTCCTCAAAAATTGTTCAGTCCACTACTATTTATCGTATACCCTGCTGCAGGTCAGACCCAGGCCGTGGATTCACCCAGCTTATGGCTCAGCTGGGGAGAGACGTTGCACACATAATAGCATCTACACAGTTGGGCAGTCAGAAATTGTGGTAAGCTGCTTGAAGGAAAGTTCGGCGTGATGTGAAAGAAAGGACAAGGGGGTCTTGTTTACTGGGGGGTCCCCTAAGGTCTCTTTGAGAAAGTGACATTGAAACTAGCGCTGAGTAGTGACTGGGAGTCAAGTCGGTGAGGAGAACCGTGTGTCTGTGTGAAAGGTGGGATGTAGAACATTCCACAAGGGGTTTGGCGTGTCAAGAATCTGCAGCAAGGGGCGCCTGGGTGGCTCAGTTGGTTAAGCGACTGCCTTCGGCTCAGGTCATGATCTCAGGGTCCTGGGATCGAGCCCCACATCGGGCTCCCTGCTTGGCGGGAAGCCTGCTTCTCCCTTTCCCACTCCCCCTGCTTGTGTTCCCTCTCTCGCTGTGTCTCTCTCTGTCAAATAAATAAATAAAATAAAATCTTTAAAAAAAAAAAAAGAATCTGCAGCAAGTCTGCTTAGTGGGAGTGAAGTGAGCAAGAGGAGCGAGAGCAAACTTGCCCAGGATGAGGTCCTGGGTAGGGGGTGGGAGGGATTTCGGATTTCACCCTCATGGCCACAGGAAACAGGTGGGCAGGCAGTTGGGTTTTGCCTGGTTGGATCTTTTCAATTTTCATGTGAAATCTTTAAGACAGATAGGAATAAAGAATAATACAATAAACCCTTGTGTATCCACCACCAGGCTTAAGAAATAAAACCTCCTCAGGGCAACTGGGGGGCTCAGTTTGGTTAAGCATCTGACTCCATCTCTGCTCAGGTCTTGATCGCAGGGTCGTGAGTTCAAGCCCCGCGCTGGGCTCCATGCTGGGCATGGAGCCTACTTAAAAAAAGAAAAGAAAAGGGGCACCTGGGTGGCTCAGTCGGTTGAGCGGCTGCCTTCGTCTCAGGTCATGATCCCGGGGTCCTGGGATCGAGCCCCACGTCGGGCTCCCTGCTCAGTGGGGAGCCTGCTTCTCCCTCTGCCTCCCCCCTGGCTTGTGTTCGTGCTCTCTCTCTCAAATAAATAAAATCTTTAAAAAAAAAAAAAAAGAAAAAAAGAAACCCTCCTCGATGTGGCTTCTGTGGCCCCCTGCCCTGGTCTGGCCTCGGAGGCCTCCACTGTCTGGGCCCGGTGCACTCACGGGGTAAGAGGTGCTGGGGCCCCGCACGGGGTCCCGTGCACGCAGGAGGCTTTCGCGCGGGTTCGGGCGGCAGCCCAGGCGGTGGCCTGCAGGGCACGGTGGCAGGTTGCATGGGGCGGTTGGGAAGAGGGGTGTTGGGAACAGGTGCCACGGGACACTGAAAGAGGACCCGATTTAAGGCGTGATGGTTTCCAGCGTGCGGTGGCTGTGGGGTGTGCGGGTGGAGAAGTCCGCAGCACGTCCGACCCCGAGGCTTGATGCTGACCACTGGCGCTGTGGGAAGCTATGGAAGCTGATGCGGCCGCTCTCCTCCTGGGGCAGGAATGCTGAGGAGGAGAGCGGAGGCCCCAGAGCCGCCGGGCATCCCCTGCCCGCGGACGAGGACCCGGCACAGCGGAGGGAGGCAGAGCGGCACCCGGACAGCAGGGCCCCTGGAGCCAGGAGAAGAGGAGTTTCGGCAGAGCTGCCCAGTGGGTCCCAACCAGCCCAGACCACGCGAGGCCAGCGGCCCCACATCCCTTCTCCACTTGGATGCTGTCCCTCCCCAGCCACCAAGGGCAAAGTGAGGACACCGGAGAAGGCAAGGTGCTGGGGACGTGGTAGCCACGGTGGGCCAGGGACAGGAGCAGAGGTGGCCTTGGCACAGTCCACGTCCAGGGCACATGCCCCAGCCGGGGAAGGGGGCGGGCGTGGAGATCACCAGCCCAACCTCGGTCTCTCAGCAAACAAGCCCGCAGGAGCTGGGGCTGTCGGCCAGGGCGGGGTGGGGGTGGGGGTGGGGGGAGTGTCTACCGGCGCCGTGGGTGGGGGGGCGCGTGGGGGCTGACACCTCTCACCCACACCGGCACGGGGTTCCCTGGATTCTCCGATGGGCCTAAGAAGAGGTGTGGGGAGACGGGAGGAGCAGGGAAGGCGAGTGTGAGCCAAGTCCCAGGCTTACTTTCTGCCTCGCCCTGCGTGGCCCTGGGTGGCCTCGGAGAGCCATGGGACTGCCTATGACACTTGGGTGCGCTCTTGGACCTCAGCCTGCAGCTGGTCATGCACCAGGGGAGCTGGGCCCCTTGTCTGCCCAGCTTGGCCTGGAGGCAGCCTGATGCCCATCCGCGAATGGCACATCACGCAGCCAGCAAAAAAGGAGGAGGGAGCCCTGGAAGGAGCCATGTGGGTCTTCAAGATGTGTCTTTTAGCAAAAAAGAAAAAAAAAAAAAAGGCAACAGTGATGAACATTGAGTATAGTATCTACCATTTGTGGAAAAGAGGAGAGAACGAAATTTATAGACACACATATTTGCTTGTCTGGGCTTGTCTGTGGATGGAGCCCCAGGAAGCTGGTGACACTGGCCGCCTCCGGGGGAGGGCGGGGGGAAGCAGGTGGCTGGGGATGGGTGGGAGGAAGAATTCTCACTGGATTCCTGTTTGTGTCTTTTTAATTTTAGAGCCATATGAATGTATTACCTACAGAAAAAAAAAAAAAAAGACACATAGAAGGCTTTAAAATTAGTGCATACATATGTGTATTTTTCTGAGAAGG